GTAATTAAGACAGAATTTACCGCCCACACGCGGTGCACACAACCAATGATCCGCAACTGCACGGCACCGCACCGCTTGCGCGGCTACGCGCCTCTCCCCTTTTCCCTCTACCGGCTCTCCCCTCTATCCTCCCCTAGCTTCCCTGTCCCCTCTTCCCTCTACCTGGCCGTTGCGTCGACGTATCAAAAACGTATTCTCGACGTGCCAACGCGCTCGTCGACGTATCAAACTTTTATACTGCAACAAAACCGTATTATGGCGAAAATCTTTTTAAACATGTTGAAAAACTCTGTTCCTTTCCACAAGGTCCAGCACAGCTTCCATATCTTTTTTAGCACAAGAAATGAAGGAATCGGCGTGCTGTGCCTTGACTTCATGCTTGATGAAAGCGCCAAAATGTGCGAAACTCGATCCACTCTTTCCATCGATCCCTCAGGGCTGGTCCTCCATTCCCAGTGGTGGCTTGGAGAGGCGACTGGAGTGGCCGTCAGGGCCGGGAAGGGAAGTAGATTGAAATCCTGATTTTTGGACATATGTTTGTCCAATCTAATTCCCATTTGCTGGCCAGTGAGAACATGTTTGTTCAACTATTGTCACAGTTCTTCTTCCATGCGTTTGCCGGCTAGCCATTCACCATCTTGTACATTCTGACATCAAACATGCCCAGATCGAACCATGTTGAACTGGAGCATCGCGAACGAAGTGATTCAGATGTCCATTCACGAAGCTTGATTGGTCGGCCGCTGTTCCCAGTTCCCATTAATTCTAACGTCATCATGCCAAGCTGTTTAACGCAGGTTACACAATCTGGTATCTAGACACACCAGTATTTCGAGACGATAGAAAGCTGAGTCCACGTGCTGCAATCATTCACCACTTTGCTTGTGGCAAGCAGTCGTGTTGCTATACCTAGGAAAAGGCCAACTTCTAACCGTCCTTACAAGTGGGGAGAAACCGCTGAGGTAGAGAAGCAGGATTCAGCTGAGGTTCCTTCTGCAAGCCAGTGTAGGTCCATGTCGTGCTGGGAGGAACGACAGACCCTCCAGGCACCTCCAGGGCACGTCTCTCGTCTCTCTCGTTGTGGTTTAGCTACAACTGTGGGTAGCTGGATCTACGTGTGCTGGAGCTGGATTATGCTGGATCTACAATGAGCTACGTTTTTTGTTTGTTTGTTTTGTTGATTTTTGTTGCTTTTCACGAAAGGTAGCTTGAGCTACCTGAGTTCTCCTTGCTTTAGCAAAAATGTATTACAATCAGGAGTTGGGATTGTGCATTGAGTTTGGTCCTGTAAGAGATACTTCTGTTCGTCTGGGGGGGGGGCCCCCCTGGATCAAATCCCCCCTGCGCCGGTTCACGCCGTCATGGACTTCTACCAGGGTTACTTGTGATTGCCTGCTACCTTTTGTTCATCCCCTCCTCTCTCACGTGTTGTCGTCGCTGTTCCTTGGTGCGGGTCTTTTCCGTTGTCCGTTGCTTGCCACTTTGTTTGCTTTAGCAAAAATGTATGAAAGTGGGAAGCTCGGATTGTGCAATGAATCACAGGCTCTAAGTAAGGAGTGTTCATTACTAGAGGCATCCCAGGATCAAATCCCCTTGTCATGCATTTTCAGCATCTCGTCTCATCTCATCTCAATACTTGTACTTGTATGCTGTGAGACCTCAGTCCGCTCTTTCTTACCTGATAGCTACGGCCCTTTCGTTCAGCCCCCCGCCTCCGGCTGTCGCTTTCTGTGTGTCTCAGGCATGAGATCGCGCCTCATAGCGGCCACCAAGGTGAGGGGATCCGGACCGAAAGAGAGAACCAGCAGATAGGTTTGATTGAGACTTGATTGTATGCATGCTGCATCACCATGAATGGACCTCGATCCCGCCTGAAGCCAGATCCCTCATGTAGATAGCTTCCAATGAACTTTCACGACTTCCAAAAAATACTTCACGAAGCCTCCTTGGAGCCAAGCTGAGCCGGGGCTGAAGTAGATCCTCCCCTCCATCAGACTCCGTCGCAGGTGTTGGCTTGTCAGGGGCCAAGCTCTCTCACGTGATCCTCAGTGAAACTTCCAGTAGCTTTTTTGACCGCCCGGGCACCCAGGGTTTCCCTGCATAAGCCTCAATGACTCGTCAATTCTTGCGTTCCTTTGAATACAAGACGAGCGGACAAAAGTTGCAGGCCTGCCGTTTTGAGATCAACTCACATTTCCAGCCGCGCTTTTGCTTGATTTTGTTCCAGAAGAGCTTCCACATGCTTCCACCCATTCTTGTGCAATCCTGCAAGCTCTTGGGTTGGGGGTGGCTGTAAAGTTCAGAAGTATTGGGTAACCAATCAAACAGATCTTCAGGCAAGATACACACAGACTCAGGCACCCTTTCGTTATAGTGTGGAAGGTTGTGATTGGAGGAGGAAACCACTTCGCCAGCAGATGATGCAGGGAATCAGAGGTCCTCCCCAGGCTATTCATCCCATCTGGCTGAGTCGAACTGAGATTCAGGTGGGCAAGTGATGCAAGTGGATGGCCCATCAGCTACCGGTGAGGTTCGGAGCGACCATACATGGACGCCTTTGACGCAAAAGTATTAATGAACAGATTGGTCAAGCTTTACAACCCTCGGAAATCATCAGGAAGTATTTGTCTAACCATTCCGTTGCGTCAAGTTTTGGCGGGCTTTGCCCACCGCAGGTGTCTTGAGAGACCTGTGCCTGACATCCTGACATGGATATTTGCTAGCTTGACATGTCTCTTCAAAGGTGTGCTTGGTATGACGATTTACAACCACCCCTTGTGCACCAGGCCTTGTGGCTATGCTTGAAGCATAAGGCGAGCTCGGCTTGGAATGGGAACGGATCGCAGGCCTGAAAGAGTCCTCCAGGAGTCCTTCAGTGAATGAATTCTAGTCCGTTGCTTGGTGTTCGTGTGTGTTCGAGTCCCTACAGTTCCAGCTTGCCCGCCCGTTCGAATCTGCGCACACCACGCTCCGATGGTTCCAGTCGGCATGGAAAACGCCAGTCGGCATGGCCGCCGCATGGCCCGATCTTCCCAGTCGGCATGGAAGGAGAGGCATGGCCCGATCTTCCGAGACATTCCGAGACAACATCCGAGGCATGGCTCTTTCTGTCGACCGGACCCAGCGACCCGCCCTATGCCTTCATCCGGCTGAAGGAGACGACGGCAGCTGGCGTGAAATTGGGGTGGTGGGTGTGATGGGTTGCCAGACTGAAATCAAGTGCCATAGGAAGAGGTTCGCCACAGAAGCATGTGACAATGTGATGATTAGGGCTTTTGGAGATGGAGATTGGTGGCTTGTTCCCTCAAAATCCCAGCTTGACGTCGTGTGACAAGCCGGTGCTTGGAGCTGAACTCGATGGAATCGATGGGTTTGTTTGCAACAGCTTTCACTGTGATTGAGTCTGTTTGCGGTGGTTTATTTGTGATTGGGTTTGTCCGAACTTACTTGTACCTGTCACTCAGCAAACAAACTATCACTATTTTTGAACAGGAACTTTACTAACCATCATTATCCACTGTTACTGGTAATAGGATAGATCCAATGTGTCGACCTTTGCCTACTATAGTTGTTATGCCAGAACACTGGGTCCACTTGAGCTACCCCTTGGGCGGGGGCTGACGGAGGTAGGCTACACATGTGCTGCCACATACCGCGGATAAAGGCGCATGACAATTGTTGACAGTTTGTGCCTGTTTCACATTGGGTTGTTGGAGGGTACAGTATAAACGCTGGTTTTCTGGGGACCAAACTGTTGCAGAATGGTTTGTGGTTTGCGCCGCGAACTTCCGATAGGCACTAATCCTGGCTCAAGGGCGTGATTTGGATAGGGTCGTGTTTTGGGAAACAGGATGGGTTGGTCCACTGAGATGCAATAGGTAGAAGTGATTGAGCCAGTGGAGCGGATTTCCCTACTCTCGAAGAACTCGGGTGTTGCCCACGGCCTATGGAGATCTGGTAGAGCCTAGCTTGCCCAGGGCCCTTTGACTTTGTTAGTGGCTTAAGATATTCAAAGATGTCCCTCTCATGTGATTCTTCTGCAGTCCATTGCCAGGAAGTGGTGTTGAGAGACACCAATTTTCAGGAGAAGAGTGTATTCCTGGCGGGCAGGCCGGGTTTACCTGCAATTCTGGCAGTTCACCGTGCTTCAAACAGAAAGCAATCCCATGTTTTGACGAGTTCTCCAGAGAATGAAAGCCTGGCCAGGGGGAACGGCCACAGGGTGGCTAAGCAGGTTCGGCACAGGTTTCTCCCAACACCCTTGGCGGTTGATTTTGTGCAGGAAGAGGCTGACAGATGATACTGCAGGCGGGTCTGGTGGGAGGTGGGCACCTTTGCATCCCTTTGCTTGCTCGTTCCATGATAGAGTTAGTCTCATGCTTGTCCCGATAGAGCTGCGCAACGGTTGATTGCGACAGGCCCTTTTGGAGATGCTGGCAGGCTCCCACTACAGTCGCTTGGTCAAGACATGCAAAGAAAACATCGATGTGCTGGTCGTGGCTGATGGACAGACTCCACGCAAAAGCCAGGGCTTTTGCGATGAATGAATGTTTGACCAAGCTGCACAGCCTACCACCAAGTAGTGTCTTTGCACAGCCAATCTGCTTTGGCTAAGTCCTCGTATGTATATTATGATACATATATATATATATGTGTGTGTGTGAGTATGTACTGTTAATTCAATCCAATCTGGTCGCCCTGGAAGTGCCCCAAGTCCTGCCTTGCATACGCACGTCTGGAGTGCCGAACATGGGTATAGAGAACTCTGCCTAAGACCCTCTAGACTCTAGACTCTTGAAATTGAGCCAAAGTCCTGCAAGAGACTTGAGCAAGAGTTCGCATCCATTCGCATGACCATTCGCCAAGATCGCATGACCAGTCGCGCAAGAGCCTCGTTTGTCGAACTGGCTGAGGCTTTGCTTCTTGCTGGCGGATGGCCGCTTTCAGCTCTTCGAGGCCTTAAATCGGAGATCGAAGGGAGATCGGAGATGGGACATGGAACACCCATGCAACACCCATGGAACACCCATACAACAGCATGGAACCACCCATGCCGGTGGGGCAGTGGTTTTTCCTCGCGAACTTGGGAATAGGCAGCTCAGGTCGTAGCTCAGGTTGTAGGTTGAACGATCCACCTGCAGGCAGTGTGGCTGCAACTGCAGTTCTCTTCAGATGAGGAGACTGACGGGTCCAAAGGGGAGCGATTGGAACAATTACCTATCATTATTGGATTATATATTTGCTTTATCTTGTGGCATAAACTCCTTTTCTTCGCTGCTTGCTTGGTTTCCCTTCGTACTTTGCAGCCTTTTATTCAATAGACTAAACTGCTTGCAGTCATTGTTCCTTGGACCCCCCACCCAAAGCATTTGAAAGCCAAAGGTGTTTCATGTCTTTCTCTTATGGGCTTTGTTCAGGCAGAGGACGCTTTCGAATTCCAGCAACGTGATGCAAGGAAACCAGCTTTTGTTTAAACAGATTCCCTCAGTGACCCAGAAAGTCCTGCTGTCATTGGTCACGGGATCTGAACTGCCGCAAGCACCAAGAGTCACTGATAGTGACTGATAGTGCGTGACGAAACCGGGGGTTTCACGGGTTTCACCCGGTTTCGCTACGCGGGTGGGCCGAGCAGAGGAGCTGCAGAGCTGGTCGGTGGCCTTGGCCAATGTTTGTGCCAGTGTCTTGGCCCAGCCCAGCAGAGCTCCGGCTTCCACGGTTGTTCGGTATTTTCCAATGGGACGGCTCTGATGGTTTCCAGCGTGGCAGGATTCCAAGCGTTACTTTTTGGGGGGGGGCGGAACCGGCTTGGTCCAAAACCACAGACAGAAGAAGTACGTAATGCAGGATCATGGATGTTTCTCATGAGCAAAGTGGAGAATTCCTCAGTTTGTGGGAGGCTTTTTGCATGGGGATTGGTCACACAAACACAACATGTTTTGTTTGGCATTCGATCGTCCTGGCGCGGACGACTGGTCCACCGCTTGCGGTGGGTGTCCTTCGTGTTTCCCGTGTCCAATCTGATGCTTGATCATATCTATGGTGCTTAAAGGTATCCCAATCAGGCCAATCAGGGACCTTCAAAAAGCAAGGCATCCTTTCCGGCATCCTTTGCTTCCCTTCGAGACCAATTCAACAGGTGAGGGGCTGCATTCAAAAAGATCCTGAAGATGAAAAGTCGTGTGGTTTGCACACCATACTTGCTTTGGTGCGTTTTCGTTTGCCTTCATGTTTCGGCCCCTGGGTCACAAACTCTGTTTCACTGGGTCACTGGGTCTTTTTTGTCAAAAAAGACATCGCTCCGCTCCATCTGCGACACAACACCAAACCTCGAGGTGACACAACACCTGAGATGCCCACGGGCGATGGATGGATGTGGGGCACCTCAAAACACCACTGCCCCCGGACGTCGAACGCCGACGAGCAGCTGAAGAATAGTTAGGTATCTGATCGAGCGCAGAACGCAGAAACGTGCAGAATGTCAGCGATCTCAGAAACGTGCAGAGTGTCACAAGTTGCAGTCTTCCCAAGGCCTGATCGCCACATGCATGCATTGTTTGCTCTAGGGCATACACACGGCGTACTTTCATCACATGGCAAATCGCTGTGGTCCTTTTTTGCAGAAGGTCCTTGGCTGTGGATGTGCAAAGCCTGCACAACCCTGAAACGCTGTAAAACCATACAGGATGTCCTAACTTCGAATGAATACAGTCCGAATACACCTAAGCAGAAACAAATAAATTACCGTGATGAGTACCATCATGATGTAATCTTGTTGTTTGCTCATGTCACTCACTTTTGGGTCCAAAGAAGGTGCGGGCCCAAAGCACCTCAATGAAAATACATTGAAAAGGCTACCCACACTGCCACACTTCTGACTGTTTTTCCTTATACGTTTGAGGAAGCCACACCAATCCGTTTTCACTGTGCTGCACTGGTGTCCAATTCCTCCAATGTTCGACAAAATCCGCGTTGTTCTTGCGCGCATCCACAAAAAGTGAAGGGATTTTCTGTACACTGTACTCACCATTTTCACCGCTTCGCTTAGATAGCAGATGTTGACGCCTGTCTCGGTGGCGAAGAACCAACGTGGCTTGGATACACTGGGCAGGCAGCCGATGATCCTGGTTGATGTCGTCAGTGTGTTTACGTCATTTTTGCTTGATGAAAGCAAATTCTTCAAAAGAATCTCGAGCCAGGTAGGTTTCCCAGAGCTCTACTGAAGACAGAGTTTCTGTACTATCTGTACTGATCAAGTCCTCTCACTCTCCCCTCTCTTCCACCTTCGGCCGAAAACCGAGGCCGAAGGGCGGGCCGCCGGGCCACAACCTGAAGCCAAGATCACACGGCCGCTGCCATCGCGGCCGGTAGCGGGCGGCGGAGAAGGGTGCGAGCGGGGCGATCCAAAGGTTGTTGACCCAGGAAACCATTGCCCGATCTTGAGGAAATTCTCGGAAAGGAAATTTGTTCGATGGCTTCTCATGTTTCCTTTGTCCAAAACTCTGGACACTTGGGCCTTGGAACTACCACGCCTTGGACCGTCCAATGAATCAGTTTGAGTGCACCAATGAATCCGTTTGAGTCAGAAGAGGCGTCAGACTGTGGGTCGTGGCGCCAGTTTGGGGGGTTGCTCTCCAAGTTTCAGCAATTGCTTGGGTGCGTGTGAAGATTGGCACCTCAGTTCAAGAACTTCTATATAAGCAAGCTTGACTTGCATCAAGAAGAATCTGTAGCCCCGAAAGGATCGCACGGATGAACCCCCAAGACTACCCGAGAAGTACCGGGTTCTTAGCTTGCACTGTTAACGCCTGAGTGAGTACAAAAGCAATGCTGGGCTTCAAGCACTGGAGGTTCGCTCGGCTGAATTCACCTAGAACGAGGCTAGACTGGGCTCCAAATCCTATCCAGTCCCGGGTTTAGTGATCCAGGATGGTTCTGGACGGTCATGAATTGTGGATGGTCTTTGGAACCTGCAAATCAATTGCGCAAGCGGCTTTGCCACCTAGTAGTGCTTAGAACTGCTGAGTTGGCCACTGGCAGTGCTCCACTGACTTGCTAGTTGCTGAGTCAAGACCCTGAAACACTGTACCGCTGTGGTTGCTTTAGAAATCTTCAGAAGCAGACCAACATGACCAACTCAAAGAGCATGATGTACATCCCATGTGTGGTTTTGACCTGATTCTCATGCAAGTGGTGGAGCTTTGCACCCAAACCTTCCCATCTCACCTTCATGGAAGGAACTCGTGTCGTAGTAGAACACCATGTTTGATCACTTTCATCCCAAATGAACCTTGCTGGTCCACTGTCTCCATTCATCTCCGAAGTTGCAGTCGATGGAGCCTTCATGGTGTGCATGGGAACTTTTAGAAAATCTTGTCCAGCCGCATTTCGATGCACTTTCGCCTGAAATCGGAGCGAGAGTCCAAGCCAAGTCTCACTTCCGTGACCAAAAAACATGTGCTTCAGCCCCTTCGCGCTGCTGATGGAACCGGTTTCATGTAGTACTCTAATGGATCAGAGGCCAGGCAGATGACACGCAAAAGGAACAATCTGCATTCAAACTACTGCTGGATTCCCCACTGGAAGGAAAGGGTCAGCTCACTCATGCGCCTCGTTGCCTGGCTTTGTGCCGCAGCTTGCCCTCAAGGGGTGTGTATGGAAATAGCCAGGTCAAAATGAAACGAAAAGGCACTGAAAAGAGAGGCTTGCCAGACACCTTGGACCAAGATTATTACAAGAGTAGTGCTGAGTGGAGATTGCGGCAACCTCGCAAAATGAACGGACATTCCTTGCACCACAAGATCCACAAACATATTTCCTTTCACCGTTCTCAACTTGTGGTTATCCAAAGTACTTGCTTGGAAATGGACAGGCATGGCTTAAAGCAATTCACAGGGCCAAGAGTTCCTGCCAGCTGGGCTTGAAGCTTCTCAGCATGGGCCATGGTGGAACCAAAGTGCAGGTTCCACAAACTACGTGCTTCAGTTTAGCTGTGATGTGGAAGTTTGTTGTTCAACACTGTCAATCTCACCATGCCAAAATCAGTTTCACAAGCCGAACCCCAAGCAGGTTATCAAGAACGAGCCTGACCAGGTCTTTGAAGGAACTGAGAGCTGATCTTGCCCATGAGTCGCCTTGCTTTTTTGATGCTCACATGGTGCTGAAGTAGAACAGAAGAAACGCCGTTTTTCTGGCTCGTTGAGGAGATGCTGGATCAGATCAAAGGCAGCGTGCACCCAGCAAAACCAGCCAGCCACAGGCAAGTGGGAATGAGTTTGGAGTTGGGGTGGAGCATGTGACAATCTAATAGGGATGAGCTGCAAGGAGTGTCGGATAGTTTGCGCGCAGCTCGGTGCTCGGTTCGTGTCAGGGGCATGTGGCCTTGCAGGTGGGCCTCTCGCCCCCTGGGCATGGCGCGGATGGCCTTTTGCAGGTCATCCGGCAAGTTGTCGCTTTCGTTTTGCAGCGCTCAACTTTTGCAGCCACCTGCACCGGAGCACTAAACCCAAAAAAAGAAGCAACAGACAAGCAGGTGTTCAATTTGTACTGTTGTTTTTATCCTTTGTATCTTGGAATGCCAGGGGCCAGGTTTTCCAAGTGAGACATCTCAGCAGTCTGTGGTCGGGCCCCAAGGACTTCTGAGATGCTTCGTCAGAGCTGCACATGGGCCGGGAAGCCTTCCTCGCCCTCCTTTGCTTCCCCCTTTCTCCTTCCTTGACCTTCCTTTTTTCCTTTACTTCCTTCTTTCCTTCCTCCTTACTGTTCTTTCCTTTCCTCTTCATTTTTCTTCATCTTCATTTTTCCTTTCTTTTTCCTTCCTTCTTCCGTTCTTTTTCCTTTTCTTTTCTTTCATTCTGAGGGAAAGGAACAGGAAAGAGAAAAGTTGAAAAGAAACTACGAATAAGGAGCCCGCTTGTGAAGAAGCATACACTCATCAGGGAAGGGAAATGGAAAGGGGCAAGAAGGGAAGAAAAGGAAATTACAAGGATCAAAAACATCAAAGAGAGTTCAATAAAAATAAAAGGAAGATGAAGAAAGGAAGGGGAGAGAAAGAAGAAAAGGAAAGGAAGAAGAAAGGATGAAGGGAAGGAACAAGGAAGAGGACAAAAAAGAAGAAGGAGAGACGAAAAAGAATGAAAGCAGGAAGCAAAGCAGAGGTTCACTGTTGTCTTTTTTTCGTCCTTTTGCTTCCTTACAGGGGTAGAGGGGCAAAAGACATGAGTGCAGAAGGACGGGGAAAGCGGAAAGGGAAAGGGGAAAGGAAAAAAGGAAGGAAAAGGCAAAAGGAAAAGGAGAAAAGGAATGGAAAAGGGAAAAGAAAAAGAAAAGTGAAAGAGAAAAGGAATAGAAAAAGGATAAAGGAATTGAAAAAGAAAATGAGGGGGGAAGGGGAAGCGGAAAAGGGAAGAGGGATACAAAAAAGTGAAAAGGGATCAAAAAAAGACCCGAAAAATGGAAAAGGGACGGAGAAAGGGAAAAGGAATAGAAAGGGAAAAAGAAAAAGAAAGAAAAGGGGAAGCGGAAAGGGAAAAGGGCAAGGAAATGGACAGAAAAAAACACGGAAGGGGACCAGGAAAAATGATAGAAAAAACGGAAAAGGAACAAACAATAAAACAAAAGAAGAAGAGAAAAGGGATGGAAAAGGCAAAAAAAAGAGAGGGAAAGGGAAAGGGTGAAGACAAGAAGGATGAAGGGGGAGTGGAAAGGAGTACAAAAAGGAAAAAGGAAGAGGAAGGGGAAAAGGAATTGAAAAGGAAAGTGGAAAGGGAGAAGGGAGAAACAGAAAAGGAACAAAAGGAAAGGAAAAGGGAAAGGGAGAAAAAAGTGAAAAGGAAAAGGAAGATCCACCTTGTTCTGGCCATGGCATTTTTTGTTTCCCTTTCCTTTTCTTTCCCTCCCCTTTTCCCCCTCTTTTGTTTTGTGTTCCTTTTCCCTTTCTTTTTCCCTCTGTCCTTTTTCAATTCCTTTTCCGCGCCTTTTCACCCTTTGCTCCTGGCATCCTTTTCCGTTTCCACTTTTCTTTCCCTCCCTTTTCCATGATAATTGTCTTTTTCCTTTTCGCTTCCTCTCCTTCATTTTCTTTCCTTTTTCCTTTTTCCTTTCCCTTCCTCTTTCTTTTCTTTTCCCTTTTCCTCCCTTTTCCATCCCTCTTGTGTTGCAGGAAAGACACACTTGCAGATCACAGCCACAATCGCCTGCTGTACTTCAACACTCTGCAGAAAGCGCTTTGACTGTGCTCGAATGTGTGTTGTGGGCTTGTGGCAATTGCTCCCACCTTTTCCTTTTTCTTGCTTCTGTGAAAGTGAGGGTCCTTTCATGACCAGTTCATGATTTTCCCATGTGCGAGCATGTCCGCCTTTTCCCATCGGCATGTTCGCCAGCTGTGACACTTGAACCTTCGCCATGAATCCATGGCTCAAGACTCGCACACGCGTTCCAAAAGGTGCGCGTTCCTCCGGGCCGCTGTCAGTTTCATACTGGCAGCGGAGCTGGGAGCGATCCCGGCACCAGCTTTTTGCTCTCTCGCCGAGAGCGGCATGGCGGCGTTCTTGGAGGCGCTGCGCTACGACGCGGCGGCCGCAGCTGCTGCCACCTCCACGGTGGCTGATGACCAAACAGAGTCCAAGTTTGGCATCCCTCGCTTCAGCGGGGAACCTAGCGCCCTCAACGAGTACGCCTACCGCGTACGAGCTCGAGTACAAAGAGAGTCCCACATGGATGCAGGTGAGGTCAAGAAACTCGGGCCGCTAGGGCTCAGGCTAGTTGAGGGACTCCGAGGACCAGCTCTGAAGATGGCTCAGCAGATCGAGCCATCCAAGCTCGCAACCACCGAGGCTCCTGAGATCCTGATCACCCTCTTCGAGAAGAACCTCCGGCCACGCCAGGAACAGGAAGCCAGAGAACTCTACGCCATCGGCGCAAGAGACGGTGGCATGATGGCGACACAACATGGAGAGCCGGTCTCAAGCTATGTGCTCAGGCGCAAAACATGGTGGCGCCAGCTCCAACAGCTCGACCCGAGCATGGCTGTGAGTGAAGGGATCTTAGCAGAACAGATCCTCCAGAATGCAGGTCTTAGTGAAGACCAGAAGCTGATGATCCGCACCACCTTGAGAGGCAAGATGGAAGTTGAGCTCGTAGCTGATGAGCTACTGAACCAACACCCTCGACTACATGAACGTGAGCGACTTCCACGGCGGCATCCTGGCAGCTTCAAGGGATCATGGAGATCCCAAGGGAAAGGCTTCAACAACAGAGCCTTCCATGTCGATGAAGAGATCTATGAAGAGTCCCCTGACTGGGAGACGGCGTCCCAGTCCCTGGCAGGCTTCACCGAGGTCTTTGAGGACGACGATGAGAACACCACCTACCTCGGCTATGAGGACTCTGAGGCCAATGACCTCCTGGCGGAATGGGCCGCCTACTTCATCGACGAGGGCCT